CAACAACACTCATAAACACAGCTGCTGGAAAAAGTGAAAGCAGCATGAGGTTCAAAGAAACCCAGGCAACAAGAAATCCATAAGGACCTTAGTCAGGGTGTCATAGAACAAAAAATATTTCGATGTCAAAAGGCATCCATCCTGAGTTGAAAAAATCTGGACCTGCATGGCAACTCAGGATTACATAGCAAATCCCTGCTCCCATATTCTTGGGGCAATCCTCCGAGGGCTCCACATGGTCGCAGCCATCTCACCCCGGAGCTGTCCCCAAACAAGTTCGCATCCCTGGTGGAAGTGGGAGATCTGGAAATCAACATGCGGCTTTTGCAGGAAGGTTTAAGAAACCACCTATCTTCTGGATCATGAACATATGTCCTTTAATCTGTGTTTTTTTTCCGGGACCAAAGGTATGAGTTTAACAAGCAAAGCGCTGATTTGATCGAGACAAATCTGGGATTTGACCGGAATCAACAGAAATGACAAATTGTCACAAGCATGGGACATCGACAGAGACTGCAAAATGCCATGGCTGGCATGGCATTTAGAATAGTGGGAAGTGGGATATGACATCGCGGTGTGTTACCCTCTGGTAAACATACAAAAAACGATGGAAAATCACCATTTTATATGGGTAATTCAACTCTTTCTATGCCCATTTTCAATAGCTTTTTGTATGTTTACCAGAGGGTAAGGTGCTGGGACTCACCGATCTCATGGCCTCGCACTTGTGCCCGGGCCGCAGCCACTGGGTGGGTCGGGTGAAGTAACGCACCTGCCGTCAGGACCCTGCCGTGAGTTGGGGGTTTGGAAGATGTTTTTTTTTCGGCTGCAAAATTTTCAAAATATGTGATTCCCAGGGTCGAAGTGTGAAAGGGATGGACACTTTTAAAACCAAAAATGTCCGCCAATTCCGGGATGATTCTCGCCGTTGCGAATTCGCTACAAACTCACCCGGACATTTGGAACAGAGGTTCCAAGTTGCAATGTGCTTTAAACAAATTTAAACCTGCTTAAACAACATGTTCCTCTGTCCGTGACATGCTTGTCTCCAATGCCCATCCCGTATGATCATTCCTATAGGGATGCTGTGACCGGTAACTTTCAAATGGCAGATAGGCAAACAAACCCGGCCTGGACCACATAGTGGGCAGGTTGCCCACAGCCTCGACAGTTGGCCTCCTTTTTGAAATCCTGGTGCCAAGCCGTTGTTTTTCAACATTTCTCCAAGAGGTAAAGGGGGTCTTAGATGCATTTGAGCATATCCGAACCCCACAGAAACTCGGTGCACCTTTAGATTTCATGAAAAATAAATGAACATGTTACCCTGCACCAAACTGGCTCCGAACCCGGTCGCACTTCTCTCCTGCTCCTGTTGCAGTGCCTCTTCTTGGGACTTTGCCAAGGGCGGTACGGGTGGCAACCTGCAGCACTTGCTCTCGCAGGAAGATGGCTGACAACAACAGAATGGCCTAGAAAAATGCGATTCATGAATTAGATTGACAGGGCACGTATCACAACTTATCCCTTCAAGACCCTTCAAGTTTGATATATATAGCAACATCCTCAACACACTTCTGTTGAAACTTGGAGCGCAGTTGATTCCATAGCGTCATCTACCGCAATTCGTCAGCACCAGCTTCAACCTCTGCCGTTGCAGCCCTTGTCCCACCCATTCTGTGGCCAAGGACGGGCTGTGGGTCTGACAATTCAAACACTGCCAGGTGTGTTCCTGCGACAGCGGGCACTCGAGGAAACCTTCCAAGAACGGCATCGATCAACATGCATATATGATCTATATGCATTTTACTTAAATATCTGATTGGTGGTTTCAACCCCTCTGAAAAATGTTAGTAAGTTGGGATTATTCTTCCGAATATATGGAAAAATAAAAAATCCAAGCCACCAACCAGATAGATTTTTCCATGTATGGCATTTTTTTTTAGTACAATATACATTCATGTAGAGCTGTGTTTTTGTGGCGCGTTGCAATCAAGACATTGGGACGTCGGAGACCCGCCGAATCGCCTGTCACTCGTGGTGTGAAGTGGACCCCACCAGTGAATAAGTGGGAGAATGGCTGGGAAATACCTTGCTTGGTTAACCAACAAAAATGGGGATACAATGTGGCCACAGCTTCAACAGGTTCATGCTACTGAATAAACTGCGCCCAGCCAAAGATTAAGATGGCCAAAAATCGGGCACGCGGGTCCTCCTCTGAAGAAAGGTAAAGTGATGCTGCTGTCGGCGGGAATTGTGGATCAACCTGAATAGTTCGGGCCCCGGGGCAGTGTGGGTGATCGCCTCACGAAACGGTCATGCCAAAGACTTGTCACTGAGGCAACTGCGACCAACACTCTTCAGGATAATTTTAAAATTCTTTAAACTAAGCGTCCAACATATCCTTCACCTTGGGCAGAACATCTCCTGGCCGTGTGAAGACTTCAATTCATCGCCTGAAATTTGGGACTCAGATTGAAATCATTGCATCAAACAAATCCAAAACCTACTGGAATCCTGTGCTGAAACGGCCAGCCACCTGCAACAAACCGAGAACAAAACTATCAACACCAAACACCACCACCACCACCACCACCAACAACAACAACAACAACACCAACACCAACACCAACACCAACAACAACAACAACAGCAACAACAACAACAACAAGCAACAACAAGCAACAACAACAACAACAACAAGCAACAACAAACAACAACAACAACAAGCAACAACAAGCAACAACAAACAACAACAACAACAACAGCAACAACAACAACAACAACAACAACAACAACGACAACAAACAGTCCATCTCTGCGTAGAGTTCTCACTTTCAAACCTTGCTAGACCTTCAAAACACTAACTTTTGTTGACAACGTTGCGTTGATATTGGCAATGTTCATCAATGTGTTCTTTACATGAAGGGTGGTTTTACCCCATCATAGCGCTATATATTAAACAAATTGGATCATCATTGGCCAACACAATAATTTGAACCCACCAGCCAGCTTACTGCCAACGCAAGATTTCAAAACTGAGTTTATCCATCGAAGTCTCCTGTAATTCCATGTAATTCCTTGGTAATTCCTACCCAGTAATCCCACCCGATGTTTGCAAACTGTGGTTTAAGGTTAAGTTTACTACTCCAATGCTAACACTATTAAGAGCATAGAAATACTGGATGTGCATCCCGGATTCTAGTTGGCAACACTTTTGTATCCTTTTGTCTTAACTGTAGTATATCGTATCTATATATCACCCTCCCTAACTACTTTATCCTCCCCTCCTAATACATGTATGAAAATGTATCCAGCCAAGGGGACGGTGTCTATGAATTTTGATGGGCTCAACACGATTTAAAAGTATCATATCCAACTGTGACCCCAAAGTGAAGATATTTTCACTTCAGGCACTTAATGAAAATATTAGTAGTTGTTTGAACTTATCATAGAACTGATGTTTACTTATTTTCACTTATTTTCACTTATTTAATTTTTTTTTACATATATTTTTGAAGGTTCAGAATTGATCATAGACGAAGGATTTTCCTGTCATACATTCTGAAAAACAGTTTTGGACACAAAAAGAATTTTGGAATAATGTTATTTTTTTTTGTCTGGTGGTTTGCTTTGTTTTTTTTTTTATATTATCTTATTTCCGATGGCAGAATTTCCTAGAGGTGTTGTGAAATCATCTCTAATTGCTCAAGGATTCAATTTATCTAAAAGTTATAAATGTTACTTCTTTCTCCATATGGATATGTTTCAAGATGAGGTGTCGGTTTTTGGTTCCAAAATAGCTACTTAAGGGGAAAAACGGATACCTCAGTTTGAGACATTCCCATATGTTTACTTTTTTTTTCAATGTTTGAAACCTAGCTGGCCTACTTTCTTTTTGAATATAAATATATATATATATACATTTTGAGACCTGTATATTTTTCTTTTCACAAAGTCTTACTATTTAATATGTTGCAATTTCTTATACTTTGTCCTTTTCATTTTTTTAAATTTTTAGATGCATTGCAAACATAACATATTTGCCAGCTGTTGCTTCATACTTGATCCTTTTCCAAATTTTAAGAATGTTCTATTATTTTGTTTCCCTTTTCTGTTTGGATTTTCTACTTAGTTGGCATTCTATAAATTATATATACTTGAATACATATAATAAAAAAAATATATATATTTGTTTTTTGGGACATTTTCTGAATTTTCTCAATTTTCTGAATTCTTTATATTTAAATATATATATATATTTCTGAATTTTCTAAATTTTCTGAATTTTCTGAATTTACTGAATTTTCTAAATTTTCTAAATTTTCTGACTTTTCTGACTTTTCTGAATTTTCTGAACTCTTTATATTTAAATAAATATATATATATAATTATATATATAATTCTGAATTTTCTGCATTTTCTGCATTTTCTGGAATTTTCTGAATTTTCTGAATTTATTGAATTTTCTGACGTGGTTTTACATTTTTTATAATATTTGATTCTTTTAGATTTTCATTTTTTTTGCAGAGTTTGAATTGTGTTGATCTAATAATATTTTCCATCACAAGAAGTTTGAAAAGTTTGAAGAAAGCCAAGAAGTTGATTCTCAACAAATTCAACATTACAGAAACTAAATATACATTATGGTCAGGTAATCTTCGTTTAAACATTTTCATGTTTGGTCGGCACTCTGCACTTTTTCTCTCTTCTGCCAGCCATGCTGTAGATGCTCTAGCGAAGGGCGCCAACACAAATCGGAGCTTCGTTTCTGATCAACCAAATGGCCAAATCTTAAGGTGCTTGAAGTCCAGACCATGAGCGCGGCAGGATACAGGAGAAGTAACATGCCTGCAATGGGAATGAATAGACCTTGACACTGGTGGAAATAGGCATAGGATCAGAAAAACTCTCAGAGGATTGGTGCCATGAGCTGTCCGCCTTTGAGCATGTGCCAGCTACGGGTTTGCCCGGACTGAGCAACAAACAATGGCCGCAGTCGTTTAACCACGGCTCCCGTCAGAGGAAAAATGCTGGAGGTAGGCCTCAAACATTGCACTGGCTGCCAAAATGGCAGACTTGGACCTGTTGGGGAGCTGCAAGAAGGCAGATTCGGCACCAACTTCTTGTAAATAGTGCTGCAACGTCTCAAGGTTCTTTAGACGCATCTTCCACAACAACTTGGTGATATCATCATCAGATCGATATGCTTTCACTGCTCCGCCAGCTCTCAGGGATGCAGGTGTTAATCCTACAGTGATGGGAATGTGAAGAGTTTCTAACAACAGGTTCCATCGTTTCCTGAAAGTGGTGGCAGAAGCTGGGTAAAGTGGAAGCTGAGGATCAAGATGACCAAAAATTTCTTGTAAGAAGTTCGCGACTGCCATATTCTGAACCTTGGCGTGCTGGGTGGTGCCGAGTCCCCTCCTCTTACTCTTTGGATTTGAAATTCTGAGGAAGATACGGCCTGGGTCTTCGGCAATCAAGTCACAAGGAAGCAAAAGATCACTCCTTGTGGCTTTGAGAACCTCTCCAGGTCTGCAAATAGCTTCAAAGGTCAGAACAATAACTCCAGCTACGCGTCTCCAACCAAAAGCCAGCGCACTGCTTACCATAGCCCGGTAGATCACGAAGGGCATTGGAGTGCGATGCACAGTTGGTTCAAGGGATTCCCATTTTGAAATAAGACGCCAAGCTTCATACAAGTGAGGACGTTTAGGAGGATCCACTCGTTGTATATGAGTCACCAGCTGCCTCATTAGATAGATGCTTTGACCACTGGCATACAGATACCTACCAAATTCAACGACAAGTAAACCAAGTACTTCTCCAGACCTCTGCAAACTGGAAACCGCCGCACTTGAAAATTCACTTGCAAGCCAACGTTGAAAGGACTTCCAAACTTGGTTCCCTAAACTGGCAGTACCTTCATTTACCAATGTGAAATTCCTCAGCTGCTCAACGTCACGCTGCTGAGCTAAAACCCGCCGAGGGCCGGGGTTCTTTGCTTCGCCAATACGGCAGTGCTGACACCTGCTGATGGAAGAAAGTAAGACATGCCTCCTGTTAGGCAGCAGACCGCAGTCTATCAACAACGCTGTCGCCAGAATTTTGCACAAGGCCCTTGGATAAGTTTGGGCAAAACGAGTCCAGGCACAATGTTTCTGCTTGTTCCAACCTTTCAAATGGACATGCCTGTGATCCCTGGAGCACCACCAAACCTGGCCAGCCAAATGACAGCTGGTCAAAAATCTAGTACGCTTTCGCCAAACTGTACCAAAATTACAATAATCCAGACGACACAATTGTTCGCTCTGATTTGAACCCAGTTGTAAAAACTCCGGTAACAACCAGAGAAAACTGCCGTCAGGATTTTCGACCCAGTAATGAATCTTCAGCTCGCGGCAAAGCTGAATGAGACTGCTCGCCCAGATAGCGTGAGCGTTGCCCAACAACACTTTCTCCAGCATCTTCCCACTGAGGTTTGCCAATCCATAGGGCTCGGCACTTGACCTGACAGGGGGCCGCACTGCTCGGCTGAAAGATGAGCAGAAGATGGCAATGCCCAGACCAAGAATGCAACCAGATTCCAGGAGTTCCCGAATCAAAGCCTTGTTCTTTTCCATCAAAACATCTTGATCCGCACTGTCTTCCAACTCAAAAGTGATGACCCAAGTTTTCCCTTTCTCCGCCAACTCTTTTGCAACGCCCTTTTTGCCAGAATAAAGATCCAGAAAACCTGGACAGGTGGGCTGCCACGCATCGATCCGCTTCCAGCTTACCGGCAAAACAAATTGTCGGCGGGGCACCTTCGACAGCAGGGTTAAGGCTCTTGCACTCAACGCAGAACATCGGGGCAGGCTCACAGCATCGACCAAGTCAGCCTTCTCAGAACCCCGACACAATACCACAGTCGACTTGAGTCGCTGTGCTGACGAAGAAGAACTAGGCAAAGGTTCTGGACTGCTAGGCTTGGTCGGAGTAAGCTCGGGGCCCTTCTGCCTGCGGAGAACTTTTTGAGCTGCCCTGTACTGCTGATGCCTCTTTATGTTCATTTCTTTACGCTTCAAAGGTGCTTTGCTTGCTCCAGACAATTCGGCAAGGTCTGGAAGTCCACTGCATTGATATGGACTGGCACCGTATTTTTCAAGCCATTTGTCAAACTCTGCAAACTTTCCATCTTCAAGACCTGCAATCGCTGAATGCAGGCTTTTCTGAGGTCCACGCACTTCTGCTCCTCTGGTGGGATCATCGGCACTGTTCACTTCAGTGGGAATAAAACCAGCATTGCCATACATGCCACATCCCAAATGAACGCCTAATGACTGTTGAAGTTCCTGATTCAAACCAACCGATGAAGACCGGCCTTTTGTCCAAACACCCAAAGCCACTTGAGAATCGGCTAAGCTAAAATACCGCAACGGAAACTGACTCAAAGCAGCCTCTCTTTCAACTCTCAACATTGCACGCAGCTCTAGAATGTTAATATGGAGACCCTCTCTGGTCTTCTGACGGCAGACTTCTTTAAAAGGCAATGCAGACGCCAGCTCAATCCAAAGAGGGTGACTGGCAAGCTGAGCACCTTCAGGAAGTTCATCATCAACAAGCAAGGTACCTTTTATCCGCGACAAAGCACGCAGAGGACTAAGCAACTTTGCCCAAACTCCCTTTTTCAGCTTATGCCGGTGAATCTCTTTCTTCAGGACTGTACCCAACTGAGCTGAAGTCACTCCAATGCCCCAATCTGAGGCATCCGAACAAAATAACTGGTCAGAGTTCGCCACCCGAAGCAACGTCACGGCTAAGGGAGCTAAGCCAGCTAATAACATCAGCTCTTCTTTCAGCTCTGGAGACAGTCGCAGGACATGTTCACGCTGTCTCTCTCCACAGTCGGCGGCTGCGTAGACTACATTGAAAATGGATAGCAGCCGTCTTCTGAACAGGCAAATGGCTGTCCAAGATCCAACTAAAATCTCAAGCAAACCAATAGTGCAAACACCCATGCAAATAACCCTCTTTGTAACGGCAATAACAGGGATTACACGTTTCAAATTTGCTTGAACACTTCCAGAGACTCCGTCAAATTGACAACCCCAAAATTCTCCAACAGGTTCTTCAACAAAAGTTTTCTTTGGATGGGGAAACAGTCCAACGCGTTGATACTCATGGATAGCTGAATCTAGGCTCTCACGACTGATACTAACAACATCTCGTTTCTGAGCATCAGCCAGAAAAATTTCGAAAAATACCAGATCGTCGATGACTACGCCCCCCAAAAATCTTTCTCGTGGAACACTCATATCCATCGTCAACAAGTTTTTGTCATCCAGTAATCCAGCCTGCACCAGCAATCCAAGATGTGCTGTCTGCGCCAATTCGACTGCCTGAGCATCGCCCATCGCCAATGTACGCAAGCACAAATAACAAAACTGATGGTCTTCAAGTTCAGGACGATGGCATTTAAATCCACGAAACTGTTTGGGGTCGACGGGTCCCACTAAAGAATTTCGGGCCAACCGCTCATCATTGATAAGAAAACCGTAATAAAAATCTCTCAAATCTGTACCACTGACTCTGCATTGTTCGCCTGGTTCCAACTGAATATCCAACAATGGCATAGCAGAGGACATAGCTCGAACCCAACGCCCTAGTGGTACTTCAAGAGTATTAAACGGCCGTGAATCAAAAATCAACCTGTCGTGGGTCAAATCCTTTCCCACGCAAAACAACCCAGCTTGATAACCAACCAACACTTCTGACTCTGGAACCATCCCAAGTCGGCTGCAATCATCAAGCTTGCGAAGCAACTTCATTTTTTCACCAAGACTGCAATGGATCTTCACAGGCGGCGGTTCCACCACACTCTCCTCAGGACGCAATGCACATTGAATAGGCCGTTCAAAGACCTCGCGACCCTTGCTATCCAAGAAAGGTGAAGGATTGAATGCGGGCACACCTCGAAATTCCAGGCGATCGCTAACGATCGGCTTCGCAGTCAAAGGGGCATTGCCAGTAAGAGCTCCTAAGATCTCACCAGCAGGGGCTTTACGGAGCCCGGGGGCAAAACCATGCTTCGATGATCTGCCATGTTGATAGCCACCCAACAAGTTTTCTGCAGCAACCTCTTTGAAAGCTTTGAGCCTATTGAGGGCTTCCTCAAAGTCTTCAATCTTGCTAGCAGTGCGTCCCATGTCCACAGCAGACACAGGTGAGGCCGTTCTACATGCTTCCATAGTCTGTTCCATAACCCTTACACTTCTCCACTGCACTTTGCTCAGAGGACGTCCCAAGCAAACTTCAGCAGGCGCAGTTGCAGGACGCCTGAGATGCAACCAGTTCAGGAGCAGGACGGCGAAGTTCACAGCAAGTTGAAACGCCTTGTCGCCTTGCTCAACATCTGATATGCCACCAGTCGCCTTCAACGCTGCAGGATAGGGCAAAGGCATAGGCCACAAGGAAGCAGCACTCTGATCTCCAGAGGTGACCGGCTTTCGAAAGAAGGAGCGGAAGAACTTTGGCAAGTTGCCATCCGCTTGCAAGAGAACACGAAAACAACTGAACCACCAAGCCCTGATATCCACTGTAGAGGCTGCCGATCCAGGTACTTTCGCATTGAAATGTGAATTAGCCTCCCCACTTGACTTCGCAGAGGGAGCACCATGCAGAAAATCTTTCATTTTCACTTTTGCGGACTGGCCTCTTCGGCCCCCGCCCCTGTTTTCTTGCCTTTGCCATTTCCCTTTTTCTTGTCTTTGCCATCCTTGCCGTCTTTGTCTTTGCCTGTCTCGTCCTCCTTTTTCCCACGCTTTCCGAGCTTGGCACGGCGCTCGCTGTAATCGTCGAGCTCCTTCACACGATACATCATCGCATCCACCCATCTGGAATCCAGAAGTCTGCTGTGAGGATTTTCTCCAAACTCTGGAGGGACGTGACGGCTGAAGCTTGAAAAAGGAGGACTCATCTCCAGCGAAACTTCGGCACCCAATATCCATTGACCTCGATCGCAAGCTACCTGATCCAGAGACGCCAACAGCAAGCCAAGTCTGGCTTGGGCTTCCATGGTCTTGCCACTGCGCAATGCATCTAAAGCACCAGCTATTCCCCATGAAGTCCGAACTGTTGCATTCAGATTGGGAATGCGAGACCGATGCTCCAACCAGCCTCTGAAGGATCCATGTCGGGTCGGCTCTCCTGGGATCGCTTGGTCAAGCCATTAATCGGAAACTAAAACCCGTTAATCGGAAACTAAAACCCGTTAATCGGAAACTAAAACCCGTTAATCGGAAACTAAAACCTGTTAATCGGAAACTAAAATAATCGGAAACTAAAACCCGTGAATCGGAAACTAAAACCCTTGAATCGGAAACCAAAAACCCGGAATCGGGAACCAAAGCTGAATCGTAAACTAAAGCAGGTGAATCGGAAACTAAAACCTGTTAATCGGAAACCAAAAGAATCGGAAACTAAAACCTGTTCATCAATCCTAATGGGCAACTTGTCTTCTTCCAATGGAGTGGATTGCATGGGTTCTCTTTAATTGGGATCAGACCACGGCAAATCATGGGAGTGAAATCAGTCCGAAGGTAAGATGAATGTCAAAGGAGGATGTGATTTCGTATGAAGATAAGTTGTAGGTGCTATCCTATGTAACACAGTCGCCAGACGGGGTTGGCGGATTTGATTTCTTATGAAGTGAATTAGCGGGTAATATCCTATTGAGCATAGTGGCCAGAGGGGGTGGCGGATTTGATGTCTTATGAAGATAAGTTGAAGTTAATATCCTATTCAACATAGTGGCCAGAGGGGGTGGCGGATAATTTCCTTTGAAGTGAAGTAGAAGGTAATATCCTATTCAACATAGTGGCCAGAGGAGGGTGGCGGATTTGATTTCTTTTGAAGTGAAGTAGATCCTTTTTGAAGTGAAGTAGAAGGTAATATCCTATTCAACATAGTGGCCAGAGGGGGTGGCGGATTTGATTTCCTTTGGAGTGAAGTAGAAGGTAAAATCCTATACAACATAGTGGCCAGAGGGTTTGTCGGATTTCATTTCCTTTGAAGTGAAGTAGAGGGTAATATCCTACTCAACATAGTGGCCAGAGGGGGTGGCGGATTTGATTTCCTTTGAAGTGAAGTAGAAGGTAATACCGTATTCAACATAGTGGCCAGAGGGTTTGTCGGATTTCATTTCCTTTGAAGTGAAGTAGAGGGTAATATCCTACCCAACATAGTGGCCAGAGGGGGTGGCGGATTTCATTTCTTTTGAAGTGAAGTAGAAGGTAATATCCTATTCAACATAGTGGCCAGAGGAGGGTGGCGGATTTGATTTCTTAAGAAAATATGTTGAAGTTAATATCCTATGGAGCATAGTGGCCAGAGGGGGTGGCGGGTTTGATTTCTTATGAAGTGAAGTAGAAAGTAGTATTCTATTCAACATAGTGGCCAGAGGGGGTGGCGAATTTGATTTCCTTTGAAGTGAAGTAGATGGTAATATCGTATTCAACATAGTGGCCAGAGGGGGTGGCGGATTTGATTTCTTATGAAGTGAAGTAGAAGGTAATATCCTATTCAACATAGTGGCCAGAGGGGGTGGCGGATTTGATTTCCTTTGAAGTGAAGTAGAAGGTAATATCCTATTCAACAGAGTGGCCAGAGGGGGTGGCGGATTTGATTTCCTTTGAAGTGAAGTAGAAGGTAATATCGTATTCAACATAGTGGCCAGAGGGGGTGGCGGATTTGATTTCTTATGAAGATAAGTTGAAGTTAATATCCTATTCAACATAGTGGCCAGAGGGGGTGGCGGATTTAATTTCTTTTGAAGTGAAGTAGAAGGTAATATCCTATTCAACATAGTGGCCAGAGGAGGGTGGCGGATTTGATTTCTTAAGAAGAGAAGTTGAAGTTGAGAGTGTCGCAGCTTTCATGGAGTGGCAAGTATTCAGAAGCTGCTTGTTCAAAATATGGTTTACTCAACTGTGTCTGAAGAGTCCCAACGTCACAGTCTGTCTGTTGCCTCAGTCGAAACGCACCTGCTCTCGTGTGTTTTTTAGTTTCTGATTTTCTGGTTTTGGTTTCTGATTCGCGGTTTTTGGTTTCTGATTCGCGGGATTTTGGTTTCTGATTCGCGGGAGTTTGGTTTCTGATTCGCGGGATTTTAGTTTCTGATTCGCAGTTTTTAGTTTCTGATTCTCAGTTTCTGATTCGCGGAGTTTTGTTTCTGATTCGCGCATTTTAGTTTCTGATTCCCGGGATTTTTGGTTTCTGATTCGCGGGATTTTGGTTTCTGATTCGCGGATTTTAGTTTCTGATTCGCGGCTTTTAGTTTCTGATTCTTTGTTTCTGATTCGCGGTAAGTTTCTGATTCGCGGTTTGTTCGGGATCGCTTCCCGCGACCCAAAGTCTTCCAACATCAATGTTTCTATCTTTCTGTAAATCTGCTCTGGGTTTTCCAAAAGACTTTTCTGGAGAGCTTTCAACACGGCGGCTTGTCGTCTCTGATTGCCTGAGCTGACAAGGTTGTGAGCACCGCCGTCCAAGCCAGACGGATCGTCCAGGATGTCGTCGAGGTCCTTGGTTCGTCGTCTGTTGTCCGACAACGATTCCACGATCGTCGTCAACTTCACCAAGGCTGCGGCAAAAGGATCGCCGGGTTCGGCAAGAGCGGTCGGTGAAGCTGCTCCTCCACCATCTGCTAACAACTCGTCCTCGGACTCTCCCAAAACGTCGACCTTCTTCTTGTCGGTCTGCTTTGGAAGATTGCTGATCTTGCCACTCTTTCTCGCAATCAACCTTGAGAACTCCTTGAGATGGTCTGGATGAACGCCAGCACGAAGAGCAGACTGCACCACACCGGGATCTAGCCCTGGCAGAGACCCAACATCTCCTGAAGCTCGAGCTTTTGGCGTAGCTGCCAAAGTGGCTGGAGGCACTGGAGCTTGACCTACGGCACTGGGAGCACTGCTTGCCTGCATATTCTGCATCTGCGTCAAAGCCCTGTCTGAATGCCTTCCACAGCTTTCTCCAGATGCCCTAGACGGGCTGCAGTTCCCTTGGATGCATCCTTCTGAAGAGGCGCCGCTGGCTCTGCTGCCGACGTGGCAGTTGCAAAACAAAACTTCTCGTCGGCCACCTCCACTAAAGCCTGAGCAAAAGGCAACAGGATTTGGCCATCCTCTCCAAGGAAATGGAAATCTTCTGTCGGGTCGCTTTCCAACTCCACCGCACTCTCGAACTCGGGATTCAGCAAACCTACCCATGCCTTAGTATGGATGCCAAGCAAAGGCTCCGTGCGATAGAAAGGCTCGCAGGCAGAAAGGCTGACGCTGACGGCTTTCGACAAAGATCTGGCTGGCAAAATTCGGGATGACAAAGTACGGTTCCAGGCAGCTAAAGGCACGGCCACAAGCAAACGATTTTGAACTTCTGTAATTAGGATACAACTGATTTTCAAATCCCCTTCGGAACTTGAAACAGAAAAAACATGCAATGGGGTATTCTGGATCTGGATCTGAATCTGCCGACCACAACAGAGCTGCACGCAAAACCTCTGAATGATCTGCAGGTTCACCGTCGATATCACTGGCAGGTGTCTCAGGCACTTCCTCCTCCATCCTGTACGGATGAGAGTCCCAACCTGGCCCACTGAGCTACAACAATACGATCTTCCCACCTAGGCAATCCTACAAACACTGAATCACCAGTATCACCACGATATTTCACAACTCTCTCTGCAACTGCCCACGGAGAAACAACTCGAGCAGGATCAAAAACTTCACCACTGAAGGAGCGGGCAATGAAGTAATAGCGGGATCCACCAGGCAGCAATTCTCGGCCTGACAACCCTCGATGATTCCCTTCCAAAGCTCGCCTGATCCACAAGCCAATTTGTTTCAAAATCTGATTCCGGGCAGCTCCTTCCGGCACTGCTTCAGCGCTGCGAGCGCTCGCTTTGGCCTTAGGTTGACCTGCAGCAATGGGACCAGACTGAGTGCTGGGCGTAGAGGCAATCAATTCAAACTCTTGATCCTGACTCTCAGCAGTGTTGATTCGAACCTGAAGGGCCCGAACTGTGATGTAGAGATCAGCAAGCTCGCGTTCCAGAGAAGTCACACGAGCCTCAAGTTCACGATTGGACATCAAATGGTGCGATACAACTGTTTTCCCAGCAATCGCTGTCGCAGCCAGACACTCCACGCTTGCCGGACCACCAACAACAATTCAATCACTGGCAGAAGCAGCAATCCCAAAAGAATGCCAATGACCAGCACCCCCAGCTCTCTCGCTGAGGTCCCAAGTTGCAAAAATCGAACACTGGCAATTGGACAGCAGGTCCACAGCAGGCTCAATCACTGGTGAGGGAACCTGGCTGTTCCAATCCCGCAATAACTGCAGGAGCAAAGAAGAAAGCCCTCCACCAGCAAATCCGATGGATAAATGTCGTGGCTCTGCGGCCATTCACTGGTCTTGACCCAGAACGCTGCGCCGTTTGACAAAACATGGGAACCATGCATAGCAGACATAAGAGTCAAGAAGCTACCTTTGTTGAATTTTTACTGCAAGGGAAATATCACGCTAAGGACTTTTGTTTCTGAGGAAGTTTTAGTTACCTTTTTTTGTGAAAGAACTGGTCTTTTCAGAAAGTGTTCTTCTGAAAATTGTTACAATCCAGGAACTATACATTACTGAAGGTTATATTTTCAGTAAAAAGGGATAGTTCCTTTCCAGGAACCATCCCTTAGAGGAAGCATTATATACAGAAACTGTCCTTGCCATGCCAGGAAGTATCCCTCATAAGAAGCTTTCTTTACAGAAACTGTCCTTTCCAGAAATGAGCTGTTCTTGAGAGAATCTGTCCTTTCCAGGAAATATCCTTCACACGAACTGTTCTTGACAGAAAGTGTCCTTTCCAGGAAGTATCCTTCACAGGAACTGTTCTTTACAGAAATTGTCCTTTCCAAAAATTCCCTTTGAAACCAAAATTGCTCCGTGGGAATCGACATACATGTCTGCTACTTCTTAGAAATGAAAAAAACTATGTTCACTTATTTTGACTTATTTTAGCTTATTTTCACTTATCTTCACTTATTTTTGAATAGTACTCAACTATATTTGATTATATGCTCATTATTATGTTATAAGTTCACCTAAACGATAAGTGGAACTTAAAACTGAATAATTTTAAAAATACAATTTAAACAGAATATTAGCGGGATAATAGCAACTTACCAGATACTTATAAATTCATTAAGTGCCTGAAGTGATAATATCTTCACTTTGGGGTCACAGAACCTAGGGGAATTTTTGCATCCTTCCACATATCGACCATGCCCGGGCGTCGCATGACCACTCCGCCTGTTGATCTCTTCCACCTTCTGCACGCTGGTCTTGAGCTTCTCAGCGTCAAACCGTTGGAAGGACAAGACCTCGCCGCATAGCGCCCACGCGTGGCGTATGGATCTGAGGACTGGGGATTGTGCACTTTGGTCCTTGATTATTTCACGGTTTAATTTATAATTTATATAGTGTTGTTTGATGTTGTTTGTGGTTCATGAACGGTATGGTGGGCACCCAGAGGAAATGGAGATACACAGTGTAAATGCAGATTCCAGCAACCAGGAATCAGACCGGACCTTACAAAAACAACGCATCACTCAGTAAACGGTAATTTGTTGATACAGGAACCCACGTGGACCTAAAATCTTAACACAGAAATGAACGCCGTGATTCCGATTAAAGATGGTAGTATCATCTTACAATATCTTGATCAGCGAACCAGAGGAATCATCAATCCTGGGTTTACACGGTGCAGAATGACAGATAAAACATGTTTTATCCCTTCGAAAAATCTATGGACTTGAAATCACTTGAACTAAACCTCAGAATCCATAATTTTTATTAATTTTTTGAGGCATCTTGGGCATCACCGATTTTTTGCTCAAACTCATCGACTCGAAAAATCACGCCTTCGGTTCACCATCCCGGATCGGCACGGGTACCTGGCACCGCAGAATTTCAGATTTCCCCAGAGGACGATGGTGTCTGTATCTGGCAACGGGTTTACATGGTTTTCTGTTTTTTTGATCAAAATGGGTTTTAATTGATTTTTAAGTATGAACAACTCACCTTTAAGAGAACTATGAATCGATGGGAAACCCAGGATCCTAAAATGGAGGTACTGTACCATATAAGGCCATATTTTGTGGGGATATTCCCTTACATAGGCCTTGCATGGCCTTACATGGGCCTTATATATGGTAGGTACCTCCAATTTAGGTTCCTGAAATGGCCATTGATATGAAGGTGACAGGCCTATCTTTGCAACAAACTGCAACAGTGCATGACAGTTTGTCAATTTCGGCCACTGCAACTCCAGTTGCCAAAACATGATTACGGGTAAGAGTAAGAGAGTGGTTTCACACCACTTGCAAGTTGGTGGAAGATGTTGCGGCGCAAGTGTCAAAAATATGTTTTTAGACACGTGTTTTCTGCTGTTTTCGGTCCAACATTTTGCAGTTGCAAAATCAAGCTCGCAGCCCACCTGCAAAATTCAAGAAATTAAAGTTAATGGAAAAATCCTTGCTCCTCCCCAGCGAATAGCCCGCCTTGGATACAATATGAGACAATGCCACCGAGAAAAATAGTGCAGTGACGGCCCGCCGCTGAACCATCCACCCAAGCTTGCGAAGGACCCGCCTCTGCAGGAGATGGAGCGCTACCTGCCGGGAGGTGGGCGGGCACCCAACATCTCCCCTTTAATGCATATCATTTACCCATAGTAAGTTGGATCAACCCCCATTACACACACACATATTTATCTCTCTCTCTCTCTATATATGTATCCGTATAGGTCTATGTATACATATATTGATGTACTCTCGTGAAATCCAACTTGTTGCAAAAAATAAATATATTTTTTTTGCAATACGTTAGTTTTCGGGATGTTCCGTTGAACAGCGCTAACATAGCAGCTGAAATCTTGCATGTTCATGGGGTGATTTTGATACTAACCTAACACCTGCCGCGCCTCCATCAGCACAAATTCCCAAAAGTGTCAAGTTAGTGTTCGTGCTGTGTTTGGGAACATGGCGAATACTCCAAAGCTGGAACCACCAAATGGAAGGTGCCATGTTTGACTGGCACAACTGTTTTTGCATGTCTTCCTGGGGCTAAATTTTAGTGGACCCAAAAAAACTTCAAAACGAACAATTTTACATAATAGATTGAATAAGGAAAAAACTCCTGGTCGATGTTGCCAATCTGGCTCCTTGCTGCCATGATGATTATGATGTACTATTGGAGGTTTTGGGAACCCATCGCCAGGTTAGCACCCATCGCAGGTTTTTGATCTCCATTTCCTCGGGAATGCACAAATTATTCGCTCAACGGCGCCGGGTGCTATGTTTATGAGTTGGTGCCCAACGGGCACAAAATCTACCTAATTCCTTTTCCCCAGGCCGCACAACGGTACCGGATGCTATGTTAATGAGTCGGTGCCAGAGCTGATCTATGCTTTGTTAAATTTCATGGGTGTATATATATATATATATATACATGTATATATGCAGAGATGAATACATGTAAATGCGTAAATGCGCATATGTAAATATAGACATATATATATATCAATATGTGGATAAATGTATGTATGTATATATATATGCATATATATATATATATATATATATTTATTTATTTACATATATGCGCATATATATATATTATATGTATATATGTATATATGTATATATGTATATATGTATAAATGTATAAATGTATAAATGTATAAATGTATATATGTATAAATGTATATACGTATATATATGTCTATATGTATATGTATATATATATATGTATATGTATATGTATATATATATATGTATATATGTATATATATGTATTTATGAATATATGTATATATGCATAAATGTATATATGTATAAATGTATATATGTATATGTGTAAAAAAATGTGTCTATTTTAAATATACATAAATATATATATATATATATACAGGTATGTAAATATGTATGCATATGATATAAGTATGTAAACATGTATGTACGTATAAATAAATATATGTATATATGTATGAACATATCTATCTAATATACTTTATTTGTGAATGAATAAAACTTTATTTGCACCTGCATAGTCGAAAAAATGCGCAAATCAATTTTAAATGTTTATGTTTCTTGAAAAATACTGTTGGTTCCACAAGTGGATGTGGTTACACCAATGCTGGCACTGTTTGACTGTTTCCATTTTCCAACCCAAATTCTGATGGTATTCTCCCGGGAATGAATCTCCGAATGAGCGTAAATACCCATCCGTCAGGATGAACATATTTTCTTCTATTCAAACCAGCAAAAAATAACAGAATCGACCCAAGTCCGACTAAAACTGTTGTGAGCAGAAAGAAACGCTAGTTGATTTTACCTGAAGATCCTGGTATGTATATTATATGTAATTTTCTGGAATGATATCCAAAAGTTATAAATAAATAAATATATATATATATAGAAATATTTTAATTAAAAAAAATATATAGTTTTTTGAATATACAGTTGAATATTAAAAAAAAAGGAGGGGGGCGCAGTTGTTATGATAATTAATGTATATATATATATATCATATATCCTTATATGGATTGACGTGGTCTGGAAACGGCATTTACAAAGCCGCCTCGCGACTCCGCCGAAGTTTCATCCCGGGTGGAAGCGGAGGGGCCAGGGGAGGGCGACACATCTGCTGCGTCCCGGTGCTCCCTGGCATGGTGAGGACTTGGTGGGACTGAAACCGCAGTTTTTTAGTCGATAAAAATGTGGTTATCATTCCATAAATCAGGTTGCTACTTTTACAACTGGTAAAGGGCTTTAACTGTAGAAGTGATCTGAAAATATGACATGTGATGATGTTTGACAACATTTGTTAAAAACATGGTCCTGTGGTCTTTCGGTATTTGCGGATGCGTGATCGGAGGATGTTGTGCCCATGATCAAAAGCGTTACGGACCAAGCGGCGCAAATCTGCAAATAAACCTTCAAAACCTATCCTCAGTCATGTGCCAATAAATGGGTTACATGCCAGTAAATGGGTTGCAGCCTTTGGAGGACCACTAAAGAGGGTCAATATTGTTGAAACCCGTTCCTCTTTGAACCTTAGCCATCTGGTCATCTATCTCTGGACATTCCTGAACAAGTTGGGCCAAGCACCACCAGATGGAACCTCTGCTCCTCATCTTTGGGAACTGTGCCGGGAGCAGGTGCCTGAGGGATAGCCCCACTCTGATGGAATGCGCGGTAGAACTGTTGAGATTCTATTCAAACTCAAAACAAATGATGTCGGGTGTATATTGATGAATATGTTCCCTATTGTGCAACATCTAAACTTAAAACAGATGTTGTTGTCTATCACTCATTTTTCCATTCATCATTTTGCTTATTGAAATTTCACAAAGATTCCCCTAGATGGTTTCTACTCCAGAAAACTACCCTAACATGTAACACACATTTATAGTATAGATTCGCTTGAATGCGAACACCTCAAACCCAAAACCCTAAAGCCTGCAGGCATCTCTTTTCAGCGTTTTCGGCTTTCCAGGCTACAGCTGCCGGAAGTTAAAACCGATGATCTTTCACTCCCCATATAGACTGCGGCGCTCCACCAAACTAAGGCCAGGGCCACAGGTGACCGAACCTCAATCCCAATGGCCTGGCAGAGAAATGCTACACGGACAGTGCTACATGTTGTGGCATGCACCTGGTGTTTTTTGCGTCACCACACCAAAATATGCACAATCTGATTGCATGATCAAATGTGACAAACCAGTGTGACATTAAACTTCTCACCTAATATGTCCAGGAAACCGTAGGGTTGTCGCAAATAGATTGTTTATTATCCTACGGCCAGGCATCACACAAAAAACTTTGACTCGCCTCTTCTGCCAGTGACAACCTGAAGCAACAGTGACGCTATTTCACGCTGGAAGCACAAGCAAGCCGCCGCTGATGCTGGAATAAGTACATTAAGAGGGGCCATCGGCAGGAAATTGCGATCAAAATCTTACGTGAATAAAACATAAACTGTCTGGAACACGTCCACATTTTGAGAATGATGGGGGTGGTTTGCCTGCCGCTTGAACCCGATTTTATCATGTGGTTCACAAGGTGTCGCTGCACGTTCTGAGTGCATCTGGCAGCTGCGCTATAAATCAGGTAAAACAAACCAAAATCATACCATATCGGATCATATAGCATCATGGCAGCAAAACAATCCAATATCCGCACAGTCCATGACGCAAAATGTTGCAAAACAGTAGGCACCCATCCACTTGTCATTGATTTCTCTACCTTTACCATGCCCCGGCAAGATGTCCAAGGCAGCGAGCCACCAATGATATCACCCAGGTTTTCTAAGTCTCGGCAGCAAAGTAGACATATGTAAATATATAGAGACGCTCATGTGTTGGCCGCAGATTACCTTGTATTGTCAAAATTGTCAAATGTTGCCACATGTATGGTTCCAAAAACAACCCAACCTTCTCACCAAGGGTTTTCCATTTCTGCTCCAAGTGGCAAAAGCTGACGGATCAATGTGCACGCTCCTTCCAAGACCTATATCGCAAGCTGACCGTGGCACCATGGAAACGTCACACACTACATTGTTTCCATTGTGGAAACCTGCTTAATGTGCATCCCTGCTTGACTAGTTGAAGTGGTTTCCCCGGAAAAAAATGCCGGATGGTTTGGTCAAAATCCAACGGTTCAAAGTAAATGATCCATGGTGCAAGATTTGGGTTGCCGTGGTTTCCAATCGCTTTTGGCGGAACAGTGGATGATATTCAAACCGGTGGGTTTCTACCAGCAAACTGACACCTAAACACACAACGTGATTTCTGACAGACACGTCTTGCAACTTACCTAGGAATTTTACGTCGTGGTGACACTGGCTGGAACAAAAAATGGAAGGAGGTTGACGTCTAGTGAGGACTGAGCCGAATCAACAAAGCCTTTCAGCAATGAGATCGCCACAAACCTTACATTAATGTTTTGAAATGAAAAGAAACCCGTGACATGGTAAAACTGCACAACATGGAAGGCGGAACACCAGACGTTTCAACGCCAAAACTCTGCCCAACCATATGAACAACACTATTTATACTTAGCAGGTTTCCCCCCAAAATCAGTGGCCATTTGAAATCACGGCACGCCACCCACTCCCCACGGCAGGTGCCTGTGCACTCAATGAAGATCTCACTTTCAAACCTATTTTTCAGCCAAACACGGAAAAACAAAAATGGGTCCTACAACCCGGAACAAGTGCAGCACCCAGCAACATTGAACATAAGTATCGTACGTATGAGGACATGTGCAAGTACATATTATATGTGTGCGAAAACAAACAGATATATTTTTCAGAAAGTAACAACAGCAGCGACGCAACTGCAAAATAGAAATGTTAATAGATATGAATTATATAATATACATATATTATACACATATCCGTGTTACATAGTGTTACATAATGTTACATATACATTACATATGTCTGCGCGCGTTTCTCCAGTCAGGAAAAAACAACCAGCGCTGTCGCTTATGATTTTGTTTGTGCATCACCAAATCCATCTCCGATTTAGCAAACAAAACGAACGACAATATAATGAAGGCAATTAAGAAAGGTAGGTGAAGAAAGATCTTAGGAACAAATAGGTAAATAAAATTGACCACGGACGTGGAAATTTCGTCAAGAAATATCAGATCATTTTGTTTCGCACACACAACATCTTTCACACACAACTTTGTCACACACACACACCATCTTTCTTTGTCACACACCATCTTTCACATACAACTTTTTCACACACAACTTTGTTTTATTTCTCGATCCTCCACCACCTCCTGTCCTTTGTCTTTCCTTCCTTCCCCGTCCCCGCTACAACATTTGGCGCTCACTATTGGAAGAAGTTGCCTTGTGGGGCAAAACAAGACTGTGACTGTGTCTTATTCAGAAAGGAATTGCACGGTCTTTGATTTGAACCGTTTGAACCAGAAGCCACTGCCACCTGATGCCATCTGCGCCTTCACGTTCGCGGTGGATTTCACAGGCAGCCAAAACCTTGGACGAGGACAGCGTGCCAAGGCAGCACCATAGGCAAAATGGCACTGGCACAATTTAGGGCGCGACAAGGCTATACGGTTAATGATGGTACTGTACCATGTTAGACGCCAAAATGTATGTAACTACTACTCCTCCTCCTACTACTATTGCTACTGCTACTGCTGCTGCTGCTGCTCCTCCTACTGCTACTGATACTGCTGCTGCTGCTACTGCTGCTGCTGCTACTAATGCTACTACTGCTACTACAGCTACTACTGCTACTACTGCTACTACTGCCACAACTGCTGCTACTTCTACTATTGCTACTACAGCTACTACAGCTACTACAGCTACTACAGCTACTACAGCTACTACAGCTACTACAGCTACTACTGCTACTACTGCTACTACTGCTACTACTACTACTACTGCTACTCCTGCTACTCCTGCTCCTACTACTACTGCTACTACTACTACTACTACTACTAATACTAGTGCTAGTAACTAATTAGTATGTAATACGCAATATAATTTTCATGATTTGGTCATTAGCACAATCTATTTTTTCATTAGCAGAAGCAATGACAAACACCACCTGGGGACTTCGCAAACTGCCTGACATCACAACCGCGTTCATGTCATGACAGTGGGTCAATGGTTCATGTTGTCTTAAAATTCAGGCTTCACCTCAGCCATTGAAACAAATTCACATGAACTATACGTGCCCATGCTTGCCATTTCCGGTTCAAAACAGGAAGGCCCGACCCGGTATGTTGGTGGTGGAGCGTTGAACGGAACCTGGCAGCAGGGCCCCGCAGCGAAACTATCAATAAACAAATGGCCCACAAAGGAATAGTCGGAATAACGATTTTTTGGTACATATGCAACATGGTTTTGGTGCCCATGCGTTCGACTGTGGGATATCGCAATGGTTTCTGCAAGATGTTCGCCACATTGTTTTGTGTTTCCTCGCTCCCACCAGGAACGGCACACCACCTTGGCAAGGGTCTTAGTTCCGCCCGGCATGGCTTTCAGCGCCAACAAAACGTTCTCCAAAGCGGCCAAAACCTGTGCACAGTGCAGGGAGCTTTTGACCCCCCAAGCATTGCTACACAAAATAATAAAGAACAATGGGCAAATGCACTGAGAGAAACAGGTTGCACAAAAAAAACAGTTGGATGATGGATGCAATGCGTTTTTTTTTTGGCGGCCAGCGCCTCGTTTTTACAACTACTGCACGAAAGACATCCCTTTCCAAAGCGCCACGGAAGGTTTGTTTCAACACAAGATGTTGCATCATGTCTTCGACCTATGTTCAAACGTATAGAGAAATGCACATGGCACCTCCCCCAAGACTTGCATGAGTGCAGCTGAATCGGGCCTCAAAAATTGAGCCCGAAGAAGGATAAAACATGAAAGAAAATATACATGTCTGCATTCATCCCGAAACGAACGGGGCAACTTCTGTCTGATCAACACTTGTTCAAGTCAATGCTCCGTGTTGATGCGGTTCAAAAAGTAGAACAGTACAATAAGTAGGCCGATTTGTTAACACGCAATGTACCGTTTTTTGGCTCAAAATCGTGAACAACAAAACTATACACGAGCTGCTGAACACGTTACGAAGCTGAGGCGGTTGCAATCCAGTGACAAGCAAGCCTTCCAAATGTCAAGAAAATCTGAGTATGCAACTGTTCACTTACAATGCCATCTATGGCAATTTCTGCCGTAGACACCTTGGCAAGTTGCCGGCATATTCGTCCGGAACGCTGGCCAAAATTTTTGCAACATCAATGCTCGAAAAGAGAAACATGAGTTTGATATACATATTTTATCATATTTTGCTTTCGGTCGACTCAATAAAGGTAAACCCAAACGCGAGAATTTTCGTCGGAAAATCGGAGGGTAGATAGAATATATATTCGTTCGATATGACATGGCTTCGAATAAAACAATGACATGGCACGATCATGTGGATAGTTGGCCACAGCCTGAAACAAGTGAATTGCTCCAGGCCCCTCAGGTAAGAACTGTTGGATTCTGTTGCCGCCATCGCCTGCAACAACGCATCCGGGCCTCAGAAGCATGCAACCCTGGCCTTGGAATATGGTTCACCTGCTCTCTAAAAATCAGGCCAAGTTATTCTTAGCCTTTTAGGTTAAATGTAACCCAATACAAAAATCATTTGCTTTTTTTGCCTAAATGAAGTTGTTTGTTGCTAGCTAAAAAATGCCATGTTAAAAGTATTTAGAAAAATATTTCTGTTTTATTGTTTCAAACCTTAAATCCAAAATCATAATTGCGGCTTCATAGTTTGGATATGATTTGATACCTTTTTCTTTGTTTCTTTGGCAGGCGTTGGCCATTTTTGCTTCAGGCACATCCACAACCTAATCCTACTAGTCCTACCAGTGTTGTCTTTGTCTTCGTCTTTGCCCGGCTTGCTGGTTTTGATTTCAATGTAGCCTTCTTCTTGG